GCAGGGCCGAGCAAGCTATGACTTTCAGACACAGACTGCCAAGGAACTACAACTCCCAGCAGACTATGGGTTCTCCGAAAGATGTAAGCCTAAGCTACACACACAATTCTATCCACTTTTGCTAATTGTTAGCGATCAAAAGGTTAAAGCTGAACTCCAGTAACAAATAATACAGCTGTTTATTCATTATTAGATCATTAAATGTATTTTTTAATGCAAGCAGTTTAAGTACCTGAAGCTGACTAAGCATCAGCCTTTTGCAGTCAGTCTCTGTACAGCAGAGCACAGACTGTGAGGAGAAGCAGCACAAGGAGCCAATCAGGTGTGCTACATTGTTCATGTGCTCACAAGGAGCATGCTGACAGGAGAAGAAAACGGAGAGCAGAGCTCACAGGTCTGCTGCTTCTCCTTTCAATGTCCAATCACAGACTGAGGGAGGGACAAGACCTGTAAGGGTTACCTAACTGCAGCAGAGAACAATCAGGTCTCCTGCCCTTGCAGATAGGGCTGTGCTGTGTGGCAGAGCCGTGTCAATCATGTATGTGTGTGTGTGTGTGTATATATACATTTAATCTGTGTATTTGGTTGTTTGTCTGGAGTTCATGTTATATAGCTCAGAAATAGTAGGTTAAAATCTGCCCCGGTTGCTGGTCGCTAGCTGATGGCTGGGCCCGTCCAGCATCATTGGTTGCTAGGACGCACGTGGGCACACACCATAATAGCAAATTACACTGTGGGGCTGCCACCTTCTTAGCACAGCATTATTGGTTGATATGGCTCTAGCAGCTGGCCCACACAATGTTATTGGTTGCAGGGTCACAGGCAGGTGCACCATAATAACAAATGATGCTGTTGAGCCGACAGTGTCTTGGCAACCAATGACATTATGCAACTCGCACAACATCATTGGTTGCACAGGGTCATCTGTGGCTATGATGCCAGTGACTAGGCCACAGAGCATCTTTAGTTGCTATGACAAATGGGCACAGCATAACAAGCTATTAGCGGGCTGCTGAACCGCAACCTGTATCCTAGCAACAATTGAAGTTGTGCACAGCCTCATTGGTTGCTAGGATGCCAGCGACTGGGCCACAGGGCATCATTGGTTGCTATGACACATAAGGACACAGCATCACAAGCGATTATGCTATGGGGTTGTTAAGATGCCGGCACTCCCACATTGTTATGGGGCATCAGCTTGTGTCCTAGCAACCAATGACACCGTGCAGCCCTATACTGTCATTTGTTGTTATAGTGTGTCCACCAATAATATTTTTGCAGCCCACACAGCATCATTGTTAGGATTTTTAGCTGCTGGGCAACACAGTGTCATTGTTTGCTTGGATGCAGGTGGGCACACCATAACAGCCGGATTGTGTCACTGGTTGCTAGGGCACAAGCTGGTGCACCATAACAACCAATGTGGGGCTGCTAGCATCTTAGCATCCCCACAGCAGCATAGTTTGTTATGATGTGCCCACTTGTGCCATAGCAACCAGTGATACCCTGTGGCCCAGTTGCTGGCGAACTGTCCAATTCCTGTGCCGTTTCTTCAAACCGCGAACACAAACGGATGCTCATTGGACAGGAACTGGCTAAATTGCGTGCCTGTTTGTTGAACTGTTAACAGCTTGGGTTCGGGTCGAACTCATGGTGGCGAATACCCAATAGACATCAACAACAAGAAAAAGAAAAAACTGACCAGGATTCTAATCCTTCCCCAGAGAATCTAAAACTAAAAAACAAAACAATAAAAAAAGGTTTTGGCTTTCGGGTTTTTTGGAACGCTCCGGATATCGCTCTTCCAAAAAACAGTTTTTCTGGCTGGCGCATCTTTCCAGGAATCTTCCAGACCGTGTAGTAAGTAATCTATTAATCGTGTTCTACGATTGACAAAAATCGATTACTCACAGCTCTAGTAAGGTCATTCACCTTTATGTAATGCAGACATCCCAACCTGCAAAACCTTATTTCAGGGAGGTGCCCTTTCTGTTTTTTTTTTACAGCGGCCGCCGTCAGAACATAAAATAAGTAATAATGATAATAATATTTATACATATACACTGAGTGGCCAGATTATTATGACCACCTGACGTTTGTAGGCAAATTAGCTATAATTTGGCGCTGAAGTTGCTAGAGGGCCAGACCATTATAAATAGGGAAGCAGGTTGTTTACCACGACAGTAGAAGTGATTTGTTTCTGAAGATACGGGTAAACAACGCGATTTAACAGCCTTTGAACGTGGGATGATTGTTGGCGCTCGGAGCCATGGAGCGAGTATCAGCAAAACAGCAGAATTGGTAAATGTTCAAGAGCAGCTGTTGTTAAAGTGTTTAAAGACTGGACTGTCAGCCGAAAATCTGGGTCTGAACGTGCAAATTGTGGCCGCCAGCGACTAGTCAATGTTAGGGCAGAACAGAGAGTGGCAAGACTGGTACAAGACAACAGAAGGGCAACAGTGCAGTGTCAGATTCCTCGCATCACCTTTCATCATCTCGTGGAGTCACGAGGCGGCCCAACAAAGTCATCTCGTGGAGTCATCTCGTGGCCCAACGAAGTACTGATGGGGTGGTCATAATAATCTGGCCATTCAGTGTATACACAAATACACATCACATGACCTTCCTCCAGGAGGCAAGCCTCACTCTGAAACTTTACCCACTGATATCTTACTGGAAAGGTTTACTCAGAGTAAAGCTTTCAGGGAGAAAATGCCTCTCTCGCGGGCGTCAAGGAGCCACTATCTAATAGAGGGAGACTCCCTGAACATCAGGGAGACTTGAGATCCCTGGTAATGGGACTTGTGAGCCTGATCGCTGGTACTGAATACCAATGGGAATAGGGCGAGTTTGGGGGACACGGGACGTGAGCTAAAACTTTCCCAATTTTGGGGAGAATTTACAAAAATTTGTTATCATTATTTGCAAAACAAAACACTTTCTTATGTTGAAGCCTCTTAAAGTCAGCCTGGTTATTGCACCTGGTGATCCTGCCAGCAACACAACTTCCTTCCTAGGGTGACAACGCTTACTCACCCTACTGTATCAGAACAACGGAAACAGTATAGGACTACAGGACTCTGCCCCTCTGCTACTGTCCTGAACATAGAGGGGTATGGTTGTGTAATCCACAGAAATGGCTAGGAACGATATAGCAGATAAGAGTCAACACAGGAAGTTATCAGCTCACGGAATTCAGGCATCATTCAGGGTCACCATCAAATTCCTGGACTGGGATGCCAACTCAGAGGTGACCCAGTCATGTAAATTTTGGTTGCTGTGCAGTTCTTGCATGTGTTTCATAAATGATCGACATGGATCAGCCCCTGATGCAGCATCCCAGCTTACCACCATGTTGCAGTGTGATCATTAGGGAGAGGAAACTGAGGCAATGTTTCCTTTTGCCTCCGTCAGGCTGATAACATCATCAGCCTAGGCAAAATCACTGACCAGATCAGGTTCTATGAGGCTCAGTCTGCCCTAAGAAAACCTGGAACTGCCTGCATGCTTTCTGGCAGCCTGTTTATCATTGACTAAACCAGATGGACCTGTCTCTGTTAGTTATTCAATAGTCTGTCTAATCTCATCCCTCTTGCTATAGCACTGTTTGCCAACCACCTCCTGCAGGGACTACACAGGTCGATTAAGTGTCTTCTACCTTTTGTTTGTTTAAGCTCCTCTGGTGCAAAGATGGATGTGACTGGCTGGGTGTTCTCTGTACAACACTGCGGCATATGTCAGAGCTCTATGAATGTATCATAATAATAGTGTGTGACTGTGGTGAGACATTAGAGTGTAAGCTCTTCTGGTGCAGAGACTGATATGACTGGCTCAGTGTTCACTGTACAACACTGCGGCATATGTTAGAGCTCCCGTATATAAATCTATAATAATAGTTTGTGACTGTGGGGGGACATTAGAGTGTAAGCTCTTCTGGTGCAGAGACTGATGTGACTGGCTCAGTGGTCTCTGTACAGCACTGCGGTATATGTCAGAGCTATATACATGTGTAAAAACAATAGTGTGGGACAAAAGAGGGGTGCATTAGAGTGTAAGCTTCTCTGGTGCAGAGACTGTTGTGACTGGCTCACTGTTCTCTGTACAGCACTGCGGTATATGTCAGAGCTATTTAAGGCCAGGTTCACACCTGGACGTTCCGTGCCCGCGAGGCAATCGTGCACGATACCGCGCGGTCACGGAGTCGCCCATCACCGACGATTACGCTGGTGCTGCCATTATTTTCTAATGGCACCCCAGTCGCACCAGATGGATCGTGCGGTTTCTCGTCGCGATTCTGCTCTTGCAACCGGACACGGTCGCGGCTAAAACAGCCACGCATCGTGTATTGCAAAAAAAGGTGCATGTACGCGCGGATGTACCCCATTGAAATCAATTGTCTGCAATTGTGCACACCCGCGCGTCCTGGATCGCTCAAGTCTGCACTGGCCCTGAATGTATAATAATAATAGTGGGTGATTGTGGTGATACATTAGAGTGTGAGCTCCTCTGGTGCAAAGACTGATGTGACCGGCTCAGTGTTCTCTGTACAGCACTGCGGTATATGTCAGAGCCATTTAAATGTATAACAAATGCAGCAAGTGCAGGGGTGCAGTAAGTGACTGTGGTGGGGACATCTGAGGTAAGCTCCTCGATTCAAAGACTGATGTGACCGGCTCAGTGTTCTCTGTACAGCACTGCGGTATATGTCAGAGCTATAGAAATGTATAACAAATGCAGTAAGTGCAGGGGTGCAGTAAGTGACTGTGGTGGGGACATCTGAGGTAAGCGCCTAGATTCAAAGACTGATGTGACCGGCTCAGTGTTCTCTGTACAGCGCTGTGGAATATGTCAGAGCTATATCAATGTATATTAATAATAGTAGAGGGCTGCGGTGGGGACGTTACAGAGCGGGAGCTCCTCTGGGGTTCGGAATGTCGTGAATTGTTGAAATGAATATTCTATAAAACAGAAAACATAAATCTAATATTTTATTCTTCCAGATTTCATACCCCCCGAGTGATGAGGACGACAGCGAGGATTCTGAAGGTGAAAACCTGGAACTTGCCCAAATTGACAAAGGTGAGAAGAGACGCTTCTGATATGGACTGCTCAAAGAGATGATTTTCAGGAACGCTGCAGAGTGAAAGGACTCTTCACATGACACTCCCATGTTCACGTCCATTTCACATTTTAGTTGTTGGATTTATAACTACTTTAGGAAAAAAACATTGGAAGGGTTCGTTCAACTTTCCCCCCCCCCAAAAAAAATTCACAACATCCTTCTCATAACCCTCTTCTCCCCCATTCCCAACTCCAGTCCCCGCTGCACTTATCTGTAATGATGAGCCTCGCAGGCCCCCCTCCCAATGGTGGTACAATGGTCCAGGAACTGGTTAGAGCGATATTAACCTCCCTGGCGGTCTGATTATGTCAATATTTTGTTTTCTTTTTTATATTTTTCACTTTTGAATTTCCCGCTGGTTCCGCCCCCCTGCGGGCGCTCCCAGGGAAGGAACCTGGAAGATGGATGCCGTCATCGCCGGGGGACACAGCGGGGCTCGCAGGGAGAAGGTAAGTGACACTACAGTGTAATCCCAAGTGTGGCTCGGGGGTTGCCGATTTTGGTACTGAAAATTAACCACGAGCCACACTCGGGAATACCGCCAGGGAGGGTAAAGTCAGAATGTTTCCCCATAAAGTCAGACAAAGTGTGTTTCCCCATAGTTCTCCTGAGCTTTGGGTCACGGGAGGAGGCTAGTTTGTTTCCTCCCGTGACCCAAAGCTCAGTATACCGCGAGCTACAGCCCGTGGTATACTGAGACGCCGCAGACAGGACGGATCCCGACATTACTGTCGAGATCCACCCAGCTGCGTGATAGAGGCAGAGCCAGCTGTACCCGCCCCCTCCCCCGTCCGTTCCGCCAATCAGCGCTGGAGGATCGGGGAGGGGGGAATCCCTGCAGGGAGCCATGAGTGACAGTCACGGCTCTCTGCAGGGACATGATCGAGAAGTGAGCGAGCGACGGTATGTGTTCGCTCACTTCCCGATCTATTAAGGCGACCTGTGACAGTTTCATTGTCACACGTCGGCTCGAACTATGAGGTTGAGTGAAAGTCACTCACCTCATAGTTCTCCTTTAAGCTGTTTCAAATGCTGATGAAATCACTTACAATGGATGCTGCTCCTTGATGTATAAAAGTTTTTGTTTCCTGTAGAATGAACTGATGCCCTAAGCACTGACCCCGATATCCTATTCTATGGAGCCACCCTTGTGTGTGCTAGTAAGCTGTGTGTGTGTCTGCACAAACACACAGGCACAGCAAGGAAAGATACTCAACTCCTTCCTGCTCCTCCTTCCTCCAAGCTAGTAGATGAACAGCTGCTGGAGACTGCCCTGTCCCTTGTGATCTTGTACTGGACAGGAAGTTCAGGAAAGCTAAGCTGAGAGAGTTGGAGCTGTTTGGAAACATGACTGTAAGTGCTTGGCCAAAAAAATTAAAGAAATACTTTACTGGGTAATGTATATTTGTTCGATCTGGATTCACTAGTGGAAAAGTTTAATGTTACTTTAAATAATGGGTGCAATGGGGAGTGGTGATTGGTCAGCGCGGCTACGTGACCGCTCTGACCATTGAGCATCTCTTCTTCATTCTGGGACGCCATCCCAGAAGAAAGACTCAGCCATAGGCGTGCGCGGCCTATTGCATTAGGGCGTGCACACAAAAGCACAAACACACACGTGTGTACTGTATGTGTATATAAATATATATATATATATATATATAAATATACAGTGTATATGTGAAATAAATACATACATACATACATACATACACAGACCTGAGGCATCCCAGACTCCCTTTTCCTCAACTGTCCCTTACCTGTTCCAGCAGTGGTGCAGTAATGAATCATGGAGCCCGCCCAGCTTCCTGATTGGATGGGAAGCCGCAGTCACGCTCCCTCACAGCTTCCCAGGCAACGAGGACTGCGGCTGTTATGTGAGGAATGTAAGTGGCAAGTGCTGCTGCGCTCTGTATCGCTGAGCCGGTCGCAGAGAGATTTTTGTGATCTCTCCTTCGGCTCAGTGACTAAAAACGCAGCACCCGCTGTTGCGGTTTTGGTGTTGCCATTGGGGTGATTAGGGTGTGCCCTGGCACACCCGACACACCCCGTGCGCACGTCTATGGGCTCAGAAGAGATTTTCATTGGTTAGTGAGCTGACCAATCACAGATCCCCCATTGCAACCGTTATTTTACTATACAGCCTCCGAGCTGTGTAGTAAAGTTTTCAAGTTCTCAAACCATTATACTGGCTGGTGTGGGTGTCAGACAAGGGTTGGCATTACAAATAAGTGGCAAGGACCGGGCGGGAGGGAAGTAGTGAGGAGGGTGTTGTGAGTTGTGAGTGTAGTTCACCTTTTCATTTTTCGTCAAAATGTGAATTAACCCTTTAAAGCAGAACTATGAGGTGAGGGAAAATAACTCAGCCTCATAGTTCTAGGCGACCTGTGACAATGAAACTGTCACAGGTCGGCTCAATAGATCGGGAAGTAAGGGAACACATACCGTCGCTCGCTCACTTCTCGATCTATCCCTGCAGAGAGCAATGACTGTCACTCACAGCTCCCTGCAGGCATTCCCCGCTCCGTTCCTCCATCTCTGACTGGTGGAACGAACCTGGGAGGGGAGTGGTACAGCTGGCTCTGCCTCTAGATAGGCAGAGCCAGCTATCAATCACGCAGCTGGGTGGATCTCGACAGTAATGTCGGGATCTGTCCCGGCTGCGGCATCTCAGTATACCGCGAGCTGTAGCTCGCGGTATACTGAGCTTAGGTCAAGCAACACAAACGACAAACGGACTCAACAATTTGTTACCAGTTATACAGTAAGGTGCACACGAAACGGGCCTTTCTGCTGTTATACTGAGCTTAGGGTGACGTGAGGACGCTAGTTTGTGTCCTCCCGTTACCCTTAGGAGAACTATGGGGAAAATCCCTGACCCCGTAGCTCTCCTTTAAATAATAACGTAACTTACACTTTGCTTTCCCACTCTGCTGCATTCTGATTCCGGCCATACATGCTCAGATCCTTAGCCTGACAGGTCTTAGTAAAACTGTGGAAGAGTGACAGATTATCTAATGGAGCTGAAAAGGAATATAGGTTAATCCAAAGCCATTAGATCTTCAGGAGACGGTGAACTGTTAGCGTGTGTGTGATAATGACGGCGTGGCTCGCCCAGAGTCAGGTGAAAGTCATGTGAACTGACCCCCCATCTGCTGTCTCTCGTTTCTGCCAGAAAGAAAACGAAATTGCATCCTGACCCCTTTAGCCACCAATCAGCAACAGAACCAAGAGAACCAGTGCTGCAAGGTGCGCTCCCTCTTCCACGCCGGCCTGGACCGCCACAGCTCGGAAGAAGAGCTGGAACGCATCAGCAGGGAATTCGCAGCCGAGAAACGCAAATGGTCCCAGGTCAGCCGGCTCAGCTGCCATAGTGACAACACATCGTCCAGCGACGAGGAGGTGAAACACTTGTGCACCATGTCCTGCCGGCCTGTTGAGCAGGTCGAGGGCCTCCGCGCGAGTCCCAGCCCCATCTTGTTCAGCGCTTCCCCGCCTAAAAGACTACAGCCCCTTAGCCGAAACTCAGCCTCCCGCCCAATTATATTCACAAGTATGGGGTCCACGTTTGACCAAGGAATGCCCTGCAAAAGACACAGACAAGGTTTTGGAGACAAGCATAGCAGACCCAGCCTCGACCTGGAAAAGATGCAACAGGTAGGACCAACATGTTGTAGAATGAACTAAAGGTATCCACATACAAAAAAATCTATGATCTGGACTATTCCTAAGGCCTGGACCATTCCTAAACATGAGATGGTCTTCTCCTCCATTATGGAGACCTTCTTATGTCTGGGAAAACTATAAGTAGTGATGGGCCGAACACACCTGAGTTTGGTTCCAATTTGAACTTTAGAACATGAAAAAGGTTTGAACTCAATGAAAGTCTATGGCACCAGAACTGGGAAAATCAAATGTCCCCACTTTGAAGGCTTATATGGAAATGTATGGGGATCCGGGTACTGCCCTGGGGGACATGTATGGGGGTCCGGGTACTGCCCTGGGGGACATGTATGGGGATCCGGGTACTGCCCTGGGGGACATGTATGGGGGTCCGGGTACTGCCCTGGGGGACATGTATGGGGATCCGGGTACTGCCCTGGGGGACATGTATGGGGATCCGGATACTGCCCTGGGAGACATGTATGGGGATCCGGGTACTGCCCTGGGGGACATGTATGGGGATCCGGGTACTGCCCTGGGGGGACATGTATCAATGAAAGATTCCTTTAAATATGGTGCCTGGGGGGGTCCCCTTTACCTGCCTGTGAAGTGGCGCTTCTGTACAATGTATAGAACCTGCTGCAGCAAAACTGACATTTCTAAAGAAAAAAATTACATTTGTGAAGAAAAAAAAAAGTGTGCGGTTCCCCCTCCCAAACCATACCAGACCCTTTAGGTCTGGTAGGAATGTTAAGAGGGACTCCATTTAAATGGAAAAAAAAAAGCGTGGGGTTTCCCCCAAAAGTCATATCAGACCCTTAAAAGAGAACTATGAGGTGAGTGATTTTCACTCAACCTCATAGTTTGAGCCGACCTGTGAAAATGTCACACGTTGGCTCAATAGATCGGGAAGTGAACTAACACATAGCGTCGCTCGCTCACTTCTCAATATTGTCCCTGCAGAGAGCCGTAACTGTCACTCACGGCTCCCTGCAGGGATTCCTCCCACTCCGATCCTCCAGCGCTGACTGGCGGAACGGACGGGGGAGGTGGCGGGTACAGCTGGCTCTGCCTCTAGGGGAAAAACATAAAGTTCTCCTTTAAGGCCTGGTAATTTTAGGAAGGACCCCATTTAAAAAACAAAACAAAAAGCTCAAAGTCATACCAGGCCTTTAAAGCCTGGTATGAATTTCAAGGAGGAACCCCACCCCCAAAAATGAAGAAAAAAAACATGTGGGGTCCCCCCTAAAATTCCCAACCAGACCCTTGATCCGAGCACAGGCCGAGCAGGGCAGGAAAGGGGTGGGGGGGACGAGTGGGGTGACAGTCTTCAATAGGGTAAAACATGGGAGAAAAGAAAGTCATGAGTTCTAATGGCAAAGCTTATTATTCCATCGGCCTCCCCGGCTGTCACATTGCTGGTAGAGCGGAGTCACACTTTAACTTTGTAACGTCCAGTTGAAATAAGCCGAATCATACGAGTCTCCTATTCTGTTTTGGCTCCAGTTTTAATTTCCCGTCATGAGTAATATGAAAATCCATCTCCAGAGCAGCGTTTGAGCAACCTGGTGACGTCAGCCGCGTCCTCGCAGACTTTCACAATACTGTTATATTTGGCTGCCGCCATTTCCCCCAATTTGATTTTCCGACGTTGCCATGTGTTTGCGAAGCAGCGCCACAAAAAATTCCCGTTGCTGCGCGTCAAAGTCACAACCGCGAGGCGGGCTTGGGACCAGTACAAAGGAATGAGATGATGAATACTAAGTACTGGCTCTTGAAGTATCCCGTCACCGCAGATGGCTCGAATTGCTGTGATGGTTTTCGGCTTTTGCAATCCTCAGTCATGCCCTCATCATTTCAAATAGGGGAACGGACCAGATCATTCCTGTTTTATATATTTGGGGGACACTTCCTAGATGTTGTCGTATATTTACAGACGCCATAAGGGGTCAACAGCAACAACAAAGGCATTCTGCAAGAAATAAAAAAGTGTTCAGTTATTATTATTATTATAATACAGGATTTATATAGCGCCAACAGTTTGTGCAGCGCTTTACAATATAGTTCAACCAGAACAAAGTTTGATCCCCTTCCTGGCTTCCAGTTCGCCTTGAGAACCTTGGTCTCCTTGTCCAGCTGTGAATCTGGCTTTTCAGCTGAGCTATTTGTGTCGCTAGATTGGGAATTCTTCATATATTCTTATGCTGGGCACACACCTTTTGTCTTGCGATGGTTGTAAGGTACTTCACAAAACGTATGATCTGCCCATCTTGGACAGGCAGATCGTACTTGCGATGATCGCAAGCCGCGCCCCCCTGAGGGGCGGGCCCGATGACTG